TACTCCACATTGTCCCGTCACGTTGTGAGCGTCTTATATATATATATATACCAGACTAACATATATCTAGTAATCTCCCGACAATTCACGAAGGTTCGAGAGAACGAGTGGCGTGACACTAGTCACGTGACCTCGCTGACGCAACAGTATGAACACCCAATCCTTAGCCAAGGGAAAGAAAGACCTTTAATTCTTGATACTGAAGTGAAAGTACATAACGTTACCTCACACAACGGGTAAACATTGTGTGAAGCTGCCCATGTCAGTTGTTTTTCAGGAACAAATACACGTAAGAAAAAGTTGAACAACTACTTCATCCTACTTTAACAAATATTTGAAGCAGAAAAGTCAGCTTGGACAGTGTTTAAATCTTTCCACTTCTCTTTTTGACAATTTGGCAACTTTTTTGGCTGGAGGTCTGAAGGAAAGTTTTTCTGGATTCCGAAACTAGGCAGAAAAGAGAAGTGGCGACGGATTTCCGCACAAAAACTAATAGCGAACTAGTTGATCATGAAAATTCGGATATAATTAAAAGTAACAGTAGTTTGTTTTTATTTTAATAAAAGTTTCTTACCCGGCGAAGAAAATGAGGAAAACCCACGAACAAGGAATGGCTATAGTTAGTAGAATGTCTTCGACTCGTCTCTCGCCCGCTAGGCGACAGGGCACACACAACATAACCAAAATATTGGCAAAAAGGTAGATGCCTTTAGCAGGGTTACTACTCTGAAATAAAATTTAAAAAAGAGAAATTACGTTATCTACCTGATGAGGATAAACCAATTTATGAATTACATTCTCGGACGATAAAAAATGCACCATTTAATAAAATTTAAACTAGGTAATCAAACAATTATTTATTTATTTAACCTATTAGAATTACAGCTAACTATTTTTCGATTTGTAATGTCATATTGCTACTATATATGTAAAAGATTTGTTAAAACCAATCATAATTATTATGTGATCAAAGTGTAAGTCTAAACAGTCTCGATTATTCTTGAAATTTACATTTGTGACTGTTGAATATTTGCCGTAAATTGTAAATAATATTCGAAAAGAGTAAGGGTAACTAAAAAAACATATAGTCCATTCTTTTCACCCTTATACGAACTTACCAAACTAAAAAGGAAGCCTAAAAGACCTTGTGCTTTGATCTCCTCTCCCTGTTGGAAGACAACAAAACTAACAGCGGCAAAACAGGTTCCTAATTCTGCAACATATCGGCACTGCGTACATAAGAAAGTTAAAATACAGATTAGAAAATGGAGAATTTAAGTGTGCACAACCTATTAAGATTAGGATGACACGTCTGTAAGTATTCACAGAGATATATTAAAGAAATAAAGTCAACGTTTAATAGTACACAATTAATATTTAAAATGGAGACTATCTCCAGTCTCAAAATACAATAGAAAATTGTTTTAGCTAATAATTCTGCTGTATAAAGATAAAATAAGCCATTGTGAGATTAAGAACAGTCTCATACACCCTACATGTTTCGACGGCTTACTTCGTCGTTATCAGAAGTGAAATATTTTACACGAGGTAAAATCTATACACCATTTCAAAAATCACATGATCAAATTTACATACAATTTAGCTTAAAACAATTCATGCCATCTATTAACAATATTTCTCTCTGGTCCTTCATCTTTATTTAATACATTAAAATTACTTTTATAACATTTTATTATCTGACCTGTATAAAAGCCAGTGTATGTCACGACACGCCTGAGTTCTTCAAATAAGAGAAGTCACAAAAGCCAAAATGCATTTATCCAGATAGAATAGCTCGATTACTGTCTGCTCATTGTAATTTTAGTGACGGGGGTGTCGTGACACCTTATAAGTGTAGTAAGTGTTGGGAACACCTAGCCTAGAGACAAGCGCATAACATATATCATAAAAGTAAAAATATCGATTCAATTTTAAACTTAAATCGTTTCTGAATTAAGCTATTTTCTGTTATAAAAATTAATGTTTTTAATAAAAACAAACCTCTTTAATCAACAGAGGCTCTAAATTAAGAAACCAACAAATATTTTTTCAGCTTTATTGTCTGTACATTTATTTCATTTTATACTTTCAATACAAAGACTAACAACAATATTAGATTATACTTTCGTTGCTAAGCAACATGATATAAAAAGCCATTGTTGGAATGTAGCGTCACCAAAACGCACTTGCTCTTCTATATATTACAAGTTGCTAATCTGACTGATTTTTACCAATAATTACTCTATGAATACGCCACGAATTAACTTCATAAATGATCTTAATTTTTATTGGCTCACAAAGGAATTTACCGACGTTT